AAGGAATTGATCAGACAGGTTTTGTCATATTTTGTTTTTTTTAACAGACTGTACAGGTTTGTGTTGCTTCCTGTCTTGTTTTATTTTGTATTTGTTGTCCTTTGCAGACTGATTGTAGAAGCTGTTAATGACTTCCTGAGCTGGATTTAAACGAAGCAAACGTGCAAAATGATGACGTTTGAGACTCTGTAAGATGAAAATGAATCCAGACTCCACTGACAGAAGTTACAGGATGAATCCATGACTTCTGTCAGCAGCAGGAACACCCCCGTGTGCTCACAGCTTTGGACCGGTCCGACCCGTGAACACCCCCGTGTGCTCACAGCTTTGGACCGGTCCGACCCGTGAACCCCGCCCCCCCCCCGTGTGCTCACAGCTTTGGGCCGGTCCGACCTGAGGGAGGACCAAGTGGTTGTTCTTGTTGGTTCTGGATCAGTTTCAGGTTATTTAATTTCCTTTTGCATCATTTTTGAGGATTTTTTTTTGTCCATTCTTTGAGGACCGTTAGCGTCACTCAGAACCATTCGTACAGTTTACGGGTTATTTAACAGGTTTTTTGGGCTCATCTGGTAGAATTTTAACAACATTTGAGGGATTTGGGGAATTTTTAAAACTTCTTTTTGGACAGGTTTGACCTTTTTTCTTTTTTTTTTTTTTTTTACAGTTTTGGGTTCTTTTGAATCACTTTTGATTAAAACTGTAGAACTTGTGAATCATTTTGGAGACGTTTCACGTTCCTGAGGACATCAGAACCATTTCTGAGGCACTTTAGACAATTTGTGGGTTTTTTTGGTCATTTTGAACAAACCTTGACTGGATTTAATCAGGTTTTTATCATCTCGTGTGCTGATGATCTTTTAGCTCTCTACGTTGATTCAGGACTCATTTGGGCCGATGAAGCTGCAGACTGGACGTCTCAGGATGAAGCTGCACCTTCCTTCCTTCAGCATCACGTGTTTGGATTCTGCAGCTTCGGGCCGATGATTCAGACTTTTAAACGTTCCTACAGAGGAACCTCTGAACCTGGTTCTCCTCCAGCTGCAGCCTGAGCTTCACCTTCCTGGAGGACCTCTGAACCTTTATCAGCTCCAGAAGCGACCTCTGACACGACCAGATGCAGCGTCCTCACGCGGATCGATGAGCTTTCGTCTACGGTGGAGTCTTTATGGTTCATCAGGAGGCTCACCTGCTCAGAGCTCAAGGTGCTCAAACATCCACGATTTCAGGAAACACGGTTTAAAGTTCAACTACTGCACATGTGGATGACTGAGTCTGAGGTAGAAGTTTACACTTTGAACACCATCAGAGCAGCTTCAGGCGGATTTAAAGACGATTTAAAGGTGAATCCGTAGATTTTACTCCACTTTTTAAAAACCTGATGAACTTTATATTCACACCCGGTCACGTGTTTAAGAGCTGAAGAATAAAACGTGAGTTAAACTGGATTTTAAGGCCAGTTTCTGTCGGAGGAGATTTAAAACTAAAATCGTCCTGCTGACAGAAGAATCCATCGTTCTGCAGATCAACCAAACCCAGTTCCCACTGTCTTTAACACATCTGGATTCTAAAAGAATGAACCTGATTTTATTTTATTTTATTGATTTTTTATTTTTCTAAACGTTCTTTTGACTGAATCGTTTTTTTAATGAGACTATTTGATTTTTTCTTTCATCTTTCTGACAGCAGCTTTGAAAATATGCAGATGTTGAACTAAAAGAGAATTTTTACATTTTTCTGGTTGTTCTTCGTCGTGTTTCCTGATTTTACCTTTAAATGCTGTAAAAAAAACTATTTTGGTTAAAAAATAAATAAATAAATAAAATAACGAATCTGCACCAGTTTCATTCATCAGTTATTAATTTAAAGCAAAGATTCTCTGATTTCTGTCTTAAAACTTTTCACCTTTTCTGCTTTTCTGTCCCGTTTTTTGACAATATGTTTGAAAATATTCAGATTTTGGGTGAAAGAGAACTCTGACGTTCTTCTGCTCGTCCTCTAGTCTGAACTATTGAACGAGCAGATCGATCAGCGTTCTGTTGTCACTGCTTTAGTTTCACTTTTGTGCTGAATTATGTTGGAAAAATAGGATTTTGGACTAAAAAATCCTTCTGTCTCATGTTTTGGGGAATTATTTTCCAGATTTGTCATTTTGTGCGCGATAAGAAATAACCCTGATTAGTCTGAAACCAAAACGTGATTCAAAACGGGACTATTTTCTGCTTTCTCTGACTTTTCTGACAGTAAATTGGAAAACATTTGATTTCAGGCAGACTCAGTGTCGCCTTGGAGACTTTTTAATCAGAATTATTGGTAGTTTCTCTACCGAGCTGCTGAACCGACACCTCAGACACTTCAGACACTTGTCATCGGTTTGCTGATTATTTCTGACATGAAAGCGAGACACGTATGTGCAGATGAATCTTTCTGCCTTTAAATCGTCACACGGCAGCTTCCAGACGAAGATCCTCTGATTCCTGCTTTCCTCTGAAAATGTTTGGACAGAACCGAGCAGACTTTTCATCTTTCAGACAGAATTATTGATATTTCTAGAATTGGACAGACTTACATCACTTGCAGGATTATTTCTCTAAACATTCTGTATTTTGTGACTGAACACTGATCAGTGTGAAATGAAGACGGTTCTCAGACTCCTGCTTCAGAAACGGAACCATTTTCTGCATTAAGTTGGATTTTGGACAGAACCAGTGTCGCCTTAAAGACTTCTCACATTTTTCAGACAGAATGATTCATATTTTTAGAAATGATTGGACAGATTTACATCACTTGCAGGATTATTTCTCTGAACACTGAACAAAGATTGAAGTTTTTTCTGCCTGAAGTTGGAAATCTTTTGGGTTTCAGGCAGAAACAGAACCGTCTCACTGGCTGGTTCTAACCAGAGTTATTCATCTTGTCAGTATTTTCCTGCTCTTCTCTCAGGAATCCTGAACTCCGACCTGCAGCCTGACACCTGTCGGAGCCGCGGCTCCAGCGGGCCGGTTCCGGTCGGACTCACCGTCATGGTGCGGCGGCAGCTTCACCGGGTTCTCCAGCAGAGACTTGAGGACTCCGTGCGGCGCCGGAGGCAGGAAGCCGGGATGGAGCAGCCGGTGCGACATGGTCCCTAGAGCTCGGTCCGGACCCAGCACCCACAGAACCGACGAACCGGAGGGCGTGACGTCAGAGCGGGCAGCCCCTCCCTCCTCCCCCAGCAGGCAGGCGCGCGCGCGAGAAGAAAAACCGGAAAATCTTTTTTAAAAAAAGATTTAAAAAAAAAAAAAAAAAAATCCGGTTTAAAAGCTGCAGAACGAACCGACGTGGACCCGAACCGAGCAGATAACGACCAGAACCGAGTTGGTAGCAGCTCCGGTCCCGGTTCTTCTCTTCCTGCCGCTTCTCCGCCGACCAGCGTCCTCTCACTGAAACTAGTTCTTCTGTCGCTGGTCCGGAGATTCTGAGGTTCTGTTCGGGTGGAATGTTGGGTCACATGACGGGGACGGGCTGACCTAGTTTTAACCAATCACAGGCCGCCGTGGCCTCCCTTCCTCCCCCCTCCTCCCCCCTCCTCCCTCACACTGGTCACATTGAATCTCATGTGCTGCTGAGAGACGACAACAAAGGAGGGAGGAGGGAAGGAGGCGAGGTGGGAGGAGGGGAGGAGAGGAGTGAAGGAGGGAAGGAGGCGAGGAGAGGAGGGAAGGAGGGAAGAGAGGAGGGGGGAGAGGAGGAGGGAAGTAGGGAAGGAGAGGAGGGAAGGAGAGGAGAGAGGAAGGAGAGGAGGGGAGTAGGGAAGGAGAGGAGGCGAGGAGAGAGGAGGGGAGGAGAGGAGGGAAGTAGGGAAGGAGAGGAGGGAAGGAGGCGAGGAGAGAGGAGGGAAGTAGGGAAGGAGAGGAGGGACGGAGGCGAGGAGGGAAGGAAGTGAGGAGAGAGGAGAGGAGGAGGGAGGAGGGGAGGAGAGAAGGAGGGAAGGAGGTGTGGAGGGAAGAGAGAAGGATACGAGGAGAGAGGAGGGGAGGAGGGAAGAGAGGAGGGGGGAGAGGAGGAGGGAAGGAAAGGAGGCAAGGAGAGGAGGGAAGGAGAAGAGGAGAGGAGTGTTCAAGTTCAAGTTTAAGTTCAAAAATCTTTAATATCTCTGTGGGGAAATGTTTGTGCCACAATCACA